TGTCTTCATTCATGGATGCCATTATTCATCAAAATAATTAAATTTGTGATAGGTTATTCTATATTGATTCTCCCAAGCATTTCTTCAGGACCTAGATGCCAACCACATCAACAAACTTCTCCATCTTAATGCAGGCTGGCTGAGAAAAGGTCAAAAGATGCATACAGCAAGCACATATAGTTGACTCCCTTTTGGAAAGCATGTAGATATACTCTGCTTTCCCTGCTACTAGACACTGAGGACTGAAGTGTGTGCAATATTCAAGTTCTAAGCTATATGTAAGAATCTATTCTCTATGATGAATGCTCTAAAATAAATAGAGCTTGCCTCGAGAACATATAAAAACTCTTTAGAAATGGCAACAACTAATTGCATGCTGAACTTTGAATACTTTAATGAAGTGTTACTGTCCACATTACATTCTAGAGTTTACAGAAATCTCTGTACTTAAAAAGAAGTTGAATTAAGGGAAATTAGGATTTTATGAGTTTGAAGAAAAAACTGTCTAAACTGCAAGCAACAAAAAAATACAGTCAAATGGTTTACTGCTTGTATTTTTAAATCCAATTAAATGTTTGGTCAGCCTCTTTGAATTCAGATGACAGAAGATAGATCTTAATAAAGGTTAAGTATTTCTGGCTAAGGTCTAGCAGTGAAAAGTGCATAGACAAACCTGTGAAGAAAAGACAATTCTTATATTCTCTGCAGAGGAAGGATAGCATGTTGGTAAAGAGAAGGAATAAGATAGCAAAATATATACTGAGAATATAAAGAAATATATTCTTTATATATGTGCTCATTGCTCAAGCATTGCCAAATTGGAACACTGAATGAACCCTGGAGAAAAATAATGTGTCCATTTACTTACAGGCTGTATCATAGGTATGTAAATACAAATAGCTGTGTTGGTGTTAAATGGACAACTCTAAACCTGTTATTTCTTGGATGAACTACTTAAGTGTTAACTTTCTTTGAACGAAATGTGTATGCAATGCACTACATGCTTTGGGAAGACTTTGAAACACAGCATTCAGCTCTGAAGCCTTGCCTTGTGTGGAAACAATGCCAAAATCAGTCACCATCTGAGAGCAAGCAGGCAATTGAACTAAGCCCCTGGTGTAATAGTTTCTGAACTAGATGCACTAAACTGATTGTTTAACCAGCACTGGCTGTGAAGTGCTGCTGCTAGCAAATCGAAGTTAGTACTTATACACACCTACCAATTTATCTCATTCCCCACTGACCTGTATTTATACTCTTCATCATCTAAGGCAGACTGATTACACTTTTTTATGTATACTGTTTCTTATTACTGTATTTGAAAAAGAGAGAGAAGTAGAATTGAACCTGTGAGACTGAAACTAAGCCAAAAGGGAATGAGAACAAACAACAGCTTATAAATGCATTCGAGAATGCATTTCTATAATTCACGTCTATATAAGTAGAAACTTCAGTCTTCAGCTACTTAAACACATTTGTTCTGGCCTTTTAAGCAAGTCTTTGTCTTATACAAGTTTACACCATATGATCTCTGTGTGGGTACTATTTAACAGATTCATGACACATACTCTTTCTGAAGAGATTGTCCATGCTATGAAGAAAACTTAATTCCCTGAAATCCAACTCACTCCAGGAAAATCTGCATGATTAAGGACTGGCAGAGTTTGGGTCAAGTGAGTGGCATGAAGCACAGCACTGCTTTTAAAGGTCAGTGATCAAGGGGCAGTGGTTTCTTTTAAATTCAACCGTTACAGTAAAATGAAACAAGGAAATGTTGTCTGGGGACAGGGGATGAGAGAACTGCTGCCTTTTCTGTCTTGCTGATATTCATCAAGCCTTATTTGCCCCTTCAGCAAATCTGATGTTGGACAACACAATGGACAAGGACTGGAAACCCTTTCCGAGTTCTATGACTGAAACAAAAGTCATTACTACTTCAAGTTGGGTATTACATGCAGACCTTTATTTTGCTCCTGAGAACTGGTAAACTTATAAGGAGTTGACAGAAATGCTTATTGTTCCCCCTGAAAAAAACCTCTATATTGAAAAGAATTTGACAAGAAAATTTTCTAACAGATACTGCTGCAGGCAAACTATGTATATCAAATATCTTACACCCTGTCACACATCCATAAGTGTGACTTACACTAGAAACAAGATAAATCCAAAAGGCATTTTTTTTCAAGCTGTTAAGATAGATTATCAGATTTCACCTTAGTACATATACATATTCACAGCAAAAACTCATTTATAGGGTTGCCTTAAATAGGAAGCCAAGTTTTAAAGTTCACGTAGCTTATTTATTTAGTGCAAGTCAACTTAGTCTAACTTGCAGTCTATATCAAGACACAGCAAGTGTGTAGCCAATAGGTTGAGAAATAACTATTCCCTTCTATTCATCAGTTGTGAGACCACATCTGTGGTCACAACTGGTTCAGTTTGGGACTCCCAGTGCTAAAAAGACATTGATAGACTGAAGTAAGTCCAACAAAGGGCCACCAAGGTGCTTGAGGCTGGGCCACATAATATTCAAAGCAAGGTTGAGAGAATTGAGCTTGTTCAGCCTTAAGGAAGCCAAGGCTAAAGAAAAAAATATATAAAATATATAACTACAGTTCACAACTACTGGAGCACATGACTAGGCCAAGAGGCATTTGGTACAAGCTGAAACACAGGAAAGTCTGACTTGACACAAAAATGTTTGTCTTACTGTGAGAATTGTCAAATCCTGAGATGGCCTGCCCGGTAAGGGCAGTATCCCTCACTTTAGAGACACTCAGAACTCTCCTAGAGACATAGCCTGGGACAACCTGCTCCATCTAGATCTGCTTTGAGCATAAGACTGGACATGGAAGTTCCACCCTCCTCATATGGTTCTGTGATTCAATGACTCATGGCTTGTCATGGTTTATGCGATGGAAATTCAAGTGCGCACAAAGCAAAGTATCCACAGTTGCTTTGGAGGTGGTCACTCGGCAGCACATTTCACCCTGCACAGCCCATTTGCTATTTGACTCTTTCTGCCCTTGATGTTACTGTTTTCATGGGCTTTTGGTTCAAGGTGGTGTTCATGGAACCCATTCTGTTACGAGCAATAGAAACTGCTGTTATTTATTAGCAATGCATTTTCATTAAGGATTTCAGTTGTGCCTGAACACAGAATTGCTTTGTAACTGCGCATAACATCTTCTTGCGTGGGAAGCAAGCCCTTACTGGCTTAACAACTTCTAGGAACTTGCACTTCCTGACTTCCTCCAGAAGTCTGGAAGTGTAAGTAGGGAACAGCCTTCCCTTAGCTATGAGATCCTGAGCTGGACAGATTGTAAAGCTTTGTAGCTCCTTTCACTGCACTTTCCACGACATTAGGAGCAGCAAAAAATACGTTAAGTTAGAAAGAGTGTGCAGAGTAGGGCATGATAGCAACACCCTTGAGATTAGTGGAACACCGCTGCTGACTATTTGTAAGAGAAGGAAAGGGAAGGACTGCAGACCGTTACAGCCATATATTATACAAGAGCTCTAATTACTAAAACTCATGGCATGCATTTATGTCTGTTGATAGATCAAAAAATAAATCCTACAAATAGATTGATATGGGAAATGAAATAAACAGGAGCAGGAGAATTGAAACTCCTGGTTCTTTATTTAGTCATCAAAGAAATCTATTTTGTAATAAGCTATGGGCATTCCATTAACAGTCTTAGAAGTGCTGAAGGACTAAGAGCAAGGCTCTTCCTGAAGAGATAGCCTGAATTAGTAAAGATCCAAGGGGGTTCTCAAGACATGTTTTGAATTTCAAAACCAACTCTAAATCACTGAAGTTACTCCTTGATGCTCCATTAATATTCTCTGCTGTTGATAAGGGCATAATATTGAGCTATAACAAAAGCAAGGAGCACTACTTTTGACAAAGGAAGAGCTTTTGTACAGAGTTTCCTTTGGAAGAAAAGGAGGACAGAAAAGGCAAGATTATGTTGCTGATCCTTGAAACTACCTTAAATATGACTAAATTTACCTAAGTGACAGGAAGTAAAAAAGCATTCCTATTCAGGAGAGCAGCTTCTGTAAGGTTTGGGAAGAAAATTGTTTAAGCACCAGTGCTATGCTAGCAACAGAGAAAAGTCTCCCAGTTCCTATTCTTAGAAGCTACAATCAGGGTGGAAGGACCATTTGGGGAATCAGGTCTTCCAGATATGCACTGAGAAGACAACCCCTTGAATAACAGAAGTTATACCTAGAGAGAGGCATCAGATATGCAGTAAAATACTAAGCAGAACCTACTGATGGATTGATATAACAAAACTGGACCCTACCAGAGGGACAGCAATGCTGGCTGGAGCTAGTTCTCAGTCAAGCTGGCTGGAAAGAGGCCTTTTTTGAAAGGATATTGATACAGAACCAAATAAAAGCAGCAGCAGTAACTATTGTCTTTACCTTTCCAACCTCGTAAGTAAATAGGAAATATTTTATTTTGCTCTTGGCAGAATATGTAAATGCTTTATTCATCCTTACACCTGCTCTGGCAACAGCCACATCCTCTTCTGAGGAAGAGCAAATCTGTGCAAGCTAGGGTGCTTGCAACCAAGAATTTCAGCAGTTGTTTGCAGCAAAGGCTGCCCCAGAAGGCATCTTCGGGACCGGGAAAACTAGGAAGCAGGCTCGGGCATGGCGGCGCCTAAACCAGCTCAGAGCTGGCTCGACCTCCCCCCCTTTGGAAATTCCTACTTTCAGGCCGGCATCACTGCAGGTGTTGCCTCCCGAGTGAGCAGCTGCCGGCATGTGCCGGCACCGCTGCCCGCACCCCTTTCCCCCGCTCCCGGAGCCCGGCGGGCGGAGCCGGCGCCGCGTCCCGCCCGAGCCCAGCCCCGGCCTGCCCCGCCCTCCCGGCGCGCGGGGGCCGCCGCCGCCGCCGCCGCCGCCAAACTTTCGACGGGTCGAGCGGCGCTGCTGCCCCATCCATCGCCCGGGAGGAGAGAGCCGCCCCGGTGAGTGGGCGAGGGGAGGGCGGCGGCGGGACCGTGCCGTGGGAGGCGGGAGCAGCCGCCCCCGCTGCGGAGTGAGGGGGCTCCGCTCCGCGCCCCGCCCTGCCCTGCCCTGCGAGACCGGCTCCTGTGGCTGCAGCCGGCGGTGGCCGCGCTCGCCTCCCCGGGGCGGGAGGAAGGTGAGAACGGGAATGGGGGGACCGAAGAGCGCGGCCGGCGCGGGGCCTCGGCGGGGTCCCCGCAGCTCCCGGGCGCGGGTGGCTCCCGCCGGGCGCGGGTGTCTGTCCACGGGGGCGGGAGGGCAGCGGCGCCGCACCCCAGAGGCACGTCTCTTGCCGCCTTCCCTCCAGCAGCCCCGGACCCTTCCCCAGCGCAGGCACTGCGGTCCTGGTGGGAATGCTGCTTGCTAATGTAATCACGTATTCCGCTCTTTCTGCCTACTTGCGCTCAGAACCGATGTAAATCCTCTCTGGGCCTTCCTCTGCCGAAAGTTAGGCGCAATTTGATGCCTGCCCATGAGGATCTGACTGCTGAGGGGAAAAGAAATTGGAAAAAACCCCTAGTGTGGTGCAGTATGCAAGGTGTGCCAGTAAATGCACACCTAGAGAGTTTATACCAAAAAAAAAGAACAGAAAGGGTTCTGTCAAACACTGTGTGGTCTCAAATGCCATCTCAGTTTTATCCCCATTCTTTGAAAGAAGCTGATATTTTGCCCATGTAACTGTCACACCGACAATGTGAAACTTGTCCAATTTATTTCATTGCTTGCTGACATGCCAGCTCATCTCTGCTTGAAACCGTGGTCGTCCCTTCCCTCTCCCTCAGCTTTGTCTTATTGACAAGACCAAAGTATCTTTCATCAGCCCGAACAGGGCAGTTAAAAAAGTGTCAGAACAAAAGAAGGCTCTGCTAAAAGGGAAGGGTTGGAAGTAGGAGTCAACAGAAAGTCAGGCACTAGAGAAATGGGGGAAAATATTTTTGGGAAGAAATGTTTTTTGGCTAAGCTACATCATTCTGACTGGATTTATGGCAAAGAAGGGGAAAAAATGTGAAATTTGCCATCACTCTCACCCTGCTACTTCTGTGTGTAAATATGACCAGCTCTTATTTTGCACTGAAAAAATTATGAGATTTTAGAGCACCTGACAGTCGTGGGACCTCATCAAATCTCTAATCTAGCAATATATGCAAGCATAATTCCTGGATGTAGGTACATAGGTTGAAGGAAAATGCTCAGCAGAGTTCTGAACTACTGCATAGCCTTGACTGTGCAAATTGTGGTGGATCTCTTAAATTTTTAACCTGGTGTATTAAAAGTGTATTGATGAGGAATCCCTTCCTGCCACCCATGCTTAGTCTAGTAGATGAAAATTGATTATATTGCTAAAATCAGCAGGATACACCAGTATGAACAGCTGGCACATCTCAGCTGATGTATCTTGGGGTGTTTTACATCTCAGGCTTACGCTATTAATTGTCAAGTAAATGTAGACTAAACAGTATAGCATAATTTTGACCTGTTTTGTTGGGGGAAAAATACCTTTCAGTTCATGCAGTCGATCCGTTGCTTTTGCAAAAAGAATTTGCACTGAGAAATTCTTTGGGATATTGTGTGAGATGGAACCAAATACAAAGGGCTCAGCCACCTGCTGGTAGTCAGTCCTCCTTTTTCAGTTTGGAAACCACACTGAAGGATGTCACTCATAGATAGTTACTGGGAACGGAGGTAGGGATGAAAACATACCTCGGTTCCTCTGAAACAATCCGCTGAAAATGGAAGGAAGAAAGTTGATCTGATTGAAAAGAAAGGACAAGAATTTTAAAAAAGGCATGTGAATCCAAACACATTAATAGCTAGACTGTTTTTTTAGGCGGACCTGAATTTGAGATGGGTTAAGCTGTGTGCAACACCTGATGGCAAGAAAGTGACGTTTCATCTCTGCTCTTGTTTTCCTTAGGAGATGTATGAATGGGAAATAGAGTGACTAACTCAGGTTTGGCTTTCTCCTCAGTGGAGTTTTCTTGGTGAGCCTGCTTGGCCCAGGAAATTTCTTACTGTTTTCCCAGGTCAAGGCAAGGAGTTGCCAGGTGTGTGGTTCTTGCTTAGCATTCCACTGATTCTCTGGACAGTTTCCAGGGGAACATGCGTGTTCTGCCTAGGACTGAAGTCCAAGTCAGCAATTAATTGTAAACCATCCATATGTTGTGCCTGCTGAAGTCTTAGGGCAACACAGAATTTGTCTCAGGCTGTGTAAGGAGGGAAACAAAATGAGATTTTGATGCTGATGGTGAAATTCTTACTGACATGAGCAGGGGAATTCTTTGCTCTTCTTTACGACTGCAGTCAGAAATGAATGCCTGATTGGCAGCCTCCGAGGAGCTGTGTTTTCTCAAACATAACACAGAAAGGGAATATTATGTATAACTGTGTTTTAATTGTTTCTGGGGTTGATTTCAGCATGAATAAGTTACACAGTCATTTCAGAGAGATTCTATTATTTCAGTTCTATTACAGTGATATTTTTACTTGCCTTGTGGCACAAACTGTTCTAAAAGAAAGTTTCTTAAAGAAAGATCCCAGTAATTAGTTCACTGCTACTAAGGAGGGCCATAAACCTATAAGTATTTTGTGACTATTTAAAGGAAACACTTTTTGTTAAGGAAAAATCGAAAGATTATTATGCTAATAACAGACTGGATGGTGCTATTCCATGTAGAATTCCCATAGACATTAATGGAAGTTATGTGCTAAATCAGCAGTAGTTTTAGGTAGTGGATTGTAAAAAAATGATATGCTGCCTAGCAGGATCTTAATACTTCTGCATTTACTTAGGCAAACTTTGTCTTTAAAATGCTTTTGAAATCTGTCCCAATTTTCAGCAGGAGTCATGCCTGAATAATATTCTGGGATTGGCCTTCAAATGTAAGGGCAACAGAATTTAAATATATTAAGACAGATCTTCTCTTAATCCTGTGATGTAGTATGTGGGTCAGGAAAGAGCTGTAGCTTTAGCTCGTTGCTTCTTGCCTTAGCCAAAGTGGACTAATCTTTCTGCTTGTTCTTGTACTGTTTTGTTTTCAGGGGCAGCTCTGTGGCTCAGACCAGGCTGCTGTAAGGATGGGTCCCCTGGAAGCAGTAGGTGAAGAAAACCAGACAGATGAAATGAAAATGGAGCTGTTCACCAAGCTGTACTTGCCAAGATACACCACACCGCTCAATGAATTGGCTCTGGACCCTAAACCAGAACTGAAGGACAGCACAACACTAGTTGAAGTGCAGATAATTCTCATTTTTGCTTACTGCTCCATCATCTTGTTGGGGGTGATTGGAAACTCCCTCGTGATCCACGTGATCATCAAGTTCAAAAGCATGCGCACGGTGACTAACTTCTTCATTGCCAATCTGGCTGTGGCCGACCTGCTGGTGAATACACTGTGCCTGCCCTTCACTTTGGTTTATACGCTCTTGGGCGAATGGAAACTGGGCCCAGTGTTGTGTCACCTGGTGCCTTACGCCCAGGCGCTTGCTGTTCACGTGTCCACTGTTACTTTGACTGTGATTGCTCTAGATCGTCACCGCTGCATCGTCTACCACTTGGAAAGCAAAATCTCTAAGCGAATCAGCTTCCTGATTATAGGAATTGCCTGGGCAGTCAGTGCCCTGTTGGCAAGTCCTCTGGCCATCTTCCGCGAGTACTCGTTGATTGAGATAATTCCTGACTTCAAGATTGTGGTTTGCTCTGAGAAGTGGCCAGGAGAGGGGCAGCTCAACTATGGCACCATATACAGCATCTCCATGCTCCTGATCCAGTATGTGCTGCCGCTGGCAGTCATCTCCTATGCCTACACTCGTATTTGGACCAAGCTCAAGAACCATGTTAGTCCTGGGGCAGGGAGTGACCACTACCACCACCGGCGTCGGAAAACCACCAAGATGCTGGTGTGTGTGGTTGTGGTGTTTGCTGTCAGTTGGCTGCCGTTTCATACCTTCCAGTTAGTCAGTGACATTGACAGTCAGGTGTTAGACCTGAAAGAGTACAAACTAATCTACACAGTGTTTCATGTCATTGCCATGTGCTCAACGTTTGCTAACCCCCTTCTCTATGGCTGGATGAATAACAACTACAGGACGGCGTTCCTCACAGCCTTCCAGTGTGAACAGCGGCTGGACTCCATCCACCCTGAAGTATCAGCAGCTTTCAAAGCCAGGAAGAAACTAGAAGCAAAGAGGATTCAATTCCCTGGGGACTCTTTCACACAACCTACCAATGTCTAAGATGTCTGACTTTAAAGAAGAAATCAATATGTGGTGGACAAAGGGATAAATCCATTTTGATACATGCATTTTTAATGCATAGTTTTATTCACAAAGAGTGAAAGAAAAGTAGCAGGAAATCAAGGCAGGTGCTATGGTCTGGGGGGAGTTGATTGATATCACGAGTATGTAACTATATGACTACAAGGAAATAAAAGGGAGAGGCTTTGTTTATGGCTGTCTCTAACAGAGTAAGAGACCCTTCTATTCCTCCCATATCTTTTTGATAAGTCTAAATGACAAGGGCAGAGTGTGCTGGTTTTGCTAGAGGAAGGCAATTTGTAGCACAGGAATACTGATGATGGGAGCAGGTAGTTTTTATATTGGATGTGGACATCAGGGAGAGCAGAAGTCTGCCAGGACAAAGAAGCCTGTCTGGGTGGGAATGGGCTGTGCTGGTTAAAGCTCAAACTTTTCAGGTCCCTTCTCTCCCACAGGCATCTTTACAAAGACAGGGGAATTAAGAAGAGAAATACATTATTTTTTTTAAACTTGTACTACAGTGGTTCAAACATTTGAAGTACATTAGGGGGTAAAAAAGAAGAAAAGGAAAAAGGAAAAAAAATCACCATACCCACCCAAACAACACATTCAATGTGAGGAAAGGTTGTTTCTATATAAAATAAATTGTGGGTTTTGGTCAGCCAAATGGGGTGAAAAGTTATTCCTTAAGAATTGGCTGTTATGCTGGTGAGAAAATCACGAGCCTGTGACTTATCAGTCATTCCCTGCAGATTCCTCCCTTTCATTCTCCTCTGGAAACAGTTCACAAATGCAGTGTTTTAAAGTGGCATTTGAGGGCAGGGAATGCAGGCTCAGGTCTTTTGTGAGCACTTCATAAACTGCCAATATTTTCGTTTTCAGGACCTGCTTAAATGTCTAATGTGTTATTAACTCCACAGGCTTTGAATTGTAGCTGCTTTCTGCCTGGATAATAAAACAGCAGATAATTTTGATCCTCTGGAAAGGCTGTGAGATGGTAAAGTGCTTTTCATTATTGTGGTTTTATGTCACATACTCATCTCGTCTTGGAGCTTTTTCCATCTTTAGTCTTTGCAAAAATTAAGAAATTCTGAATGACTGTAACCTAATAACAGTGTGCTATGTTTATGTGATAACAGTTATTCTGCATGCTGTAGTTAATAGTTAAATTCCTTTTTTTGCTCAGGTATAAAATTTTAATCTGTTTACTGTGTTGCACACAGCAATGTTCAACTCTTCTATGTCTTCGTTCAGCCTCTTTGAACTCATTAAAGAGATGAAGAAAATTTCAATCCATTTTTATTTCAAGCTGCTCTGTTGCTTATCTAGAATAAAACCAAGTGTGATACTTTCACTTGAGCCTATTTCAACAGTGACATTTCAGCTGCTTCATTTTTTTCACTCAATTTTTTGTTGTTCCTAAATTCATTGTGTTCTCTCTTACAAATTAAAACCCAAAAAAACTCCAGTACTGAAATGTTTGCAATGTAATAAATAACATCACGTCTTTATCAAGTGGAGAAATTAGTCTTTTTGTATTCAGTATTCAGCACCATCCTTTAAATATCCATGAAATCATTTGGACTTGGATTTTCATGAGGAGAAAAGGGAGATCTGGAGAATTAGCTAGTGTTTACTCAAGCAGGGAAAAGTATCCATCATTCTTAAACAGTTTTACCAAAATAGATTAATTCTCTGCCATGTTCAGAACATGTTATTGTCCACAAGTTATTTTTGTCTGAATATTAGTAATATCCAGAATGTCAGCTCAAAACTCTTACGGGTGAGGAAGGATTACAGAAGTGTGCAATTACTATGGACATCAGTCACATCTATCAGTTTCAGTTAACTCCGAACCCTTCATCAAAAGTATTATTACTACAAATAGTCTCCTTTATTTAAAAAGCAAATGGTTTAAAAGTTCTGTTTAAACTCCTTTAAGCCTGTTAGAATGTGATATATAGACAGTTTTGAAGTAACCATGACAGTGTGTGCTAAAGCTACAATTGCCGGGCTAATTCTCTGTAATTTTAAGTCTGCTTTACCTCATCTTGTATAAAAGTGATTAATTACAAATTATCTTTCCATTTATTTCATGGCATCTTTATTTTACAGCTTCCTGAGTTTTCTCTGCAGCCATCACATTGAGCCAGAGATGGTGCACTAATTTATTGCATTGCTTTCTTCTCTGCCTTGTGGAGTGGTGCCTTGGTCAGTGCCTGCTTTAGAGTAACAAACCTCTACGCAGTGTCCCACTGCAGGGTGTGGATTCTCCCATGAACACCTGGAGATGGGATGTGGAAGAGCCAGCACAGATGCCTGTTCCATGGGTTGATCACTCCTCAGACTTGGCTCCTGTGCAGACACAGCTACGTGCTTTAGTACCCTGTTATGTTGTAGAAAAATTGGGTGTTTTATCACCAAAAGCAATGAAGTAGCAACATTCCTTAGGGTTGCCCCAAATCCCAGCTGTCAGAAGGATGTGGAAATGGGTTCATCCCCATTTCCCCCAAGGGAAAGTTAACCTATAAGCAGTATCTAACCACTGGAATGGACCCTCCATTTTACCTGAAATAGGAATCAGGATCCAACTCTCCCCATTCAGCTGTTAGTGCTTTAATTATTTTTTTAAAAGCATTATGTTCTTATCCTCTTGCTTGTACAAGTTTTTTGCAAAGCCAAAGAACACCAGGAGCAACTCTCATTGAAGAATTTGCTAGTGGGTGTCAGGGTACCAAAAGGAAATGTCATCACTGATTCAGGGCAAGAATTTGAACCAATGCACCCCAGTTCTCATTAGTGTGATCTAGCCAGCATGCTGCAGCCTCTCCTGAGGCAGCAACATATGTCTTCTTAGGGCTGTTCTATTGTATATAAAATAATTAAACATTGAATATCATGATTTTATGGGCAGGTGGTTATGACCTTTGCATGGCACTAAGGTTTGGGGACAAGGATATCAAAACAGATACAGACAGAATTTAAGATAGGGCTCCTCCCCCATTCTTCATGAGTGCATCTACTGTAAAGATACTGCAGTACAGGCAGGATGATTGCACTGAGTAGTACCATGCTGATCTCTGGGTGGATCTTGCTTTGGACTCTGACTTGGGGTTGGCTTTTAAAATGAGACCTCTCCACCACATAGATGGTGATCTAGAATCTTAGCTGGTCAGCACTTAGCTCTGAGTGTCCCTGGAAGAACACATTTTGATGCCTTGCGAATTTTAATGGCAGAAACATGTCTCCATTAGGCATCAGTGCAGTACCGAGCAGTATGTAATTAGATAGGTGCAGCTGCAGCTGTATGCTCTCCAGTGCAGCTGCAGCTGTATGCTCTCCAGCACTGGCTGGGCACAAGGCAGCTCAAGCCTGGAGGCAGAAGAGCTGCACTGATGGACTTTCCTGAGGCTGTCATGCTTTTGCCTTGAGGAGAACATAGAGCTGTGCTGCTTCTGGATGAGTGTTAAAAGTCAATGTTGCCTGTAAAGGCTGCAGCCCTTGGACTACAAGTGGAGAAGCAATCCTGAGTATGCTTGCTGGAGTTTTTTGGAGGGCCATGAAACTAGGGAGTTTTTTATGTGGGGACAGTGCTGAACCTTCTCACCTAGCCCTGTAAGTAGCCTTCACTGAGAATTGTGATCTCCAAGAAGAGCAGCAGACTATGACTGAGCAGAAAGTACACCATTGTTAATCTGAGAAAAAAAAAGATTTGAACAGTTAAAGTAGAAGGACTAAGCCTGGACAAAAAATGGGTTTAGTATACATATCTATTTATATGTAAATTGTATGTCAGAGCTGTGCAAAAGTTGTTTTATAGAGTTAAGTGTGTTGAAAATAATTGTCTGTTGCTATAACCCTGTCTTGTATAAATGTGTATTGTGGACAAACATACCTTGCCAACATAATAATAGATAACACTAGGAGTAATAAGTGAGTGGAAAATATTATCTGCATTTGATCTGTCAGACCACAAAAGTATCACTGAATTCACAGATTAGTATAATCCATTTCCATGCTTCATAGTTTCTAAACTCTCTTGGGGATTTTCTTATATTAATCCAGATAATGACCTTAAGGGATGAATTTTGTCTGTGGATCCCTGAGTTATTTACCTAGTACTGTCATTATAAGTGCCATTCCACAACAGAAGAGCTACTTTGTGCCAAAGTACAGGTTCTTTGCCCTAAAAAGCAATGAGATGTATGTAAATTTATGCAAGATTAGTTTTGCTGAAGAGCTGTGTTTTTAATACTGCAGTACAAATGCTTATTTATGCAATCAGTAATGATTTTCATATCTCATCTTCACTTTAAAAAAAATCGAATTGGTTGTCATTTTAAAAGGAAATTAATACAAGTAAGGAACACTGAAGCTGGTAAAACTGGATAAATAAGAAAGTCATCGGATGAGCGGCTACTTCAAGAAGCAAGAAAGAGAGAGCAAGAATGAGGCTAGTGAAGATGTCGTTGATTTATAGACATTCCTTCCTATAGTCTGAGCCATGAGAGAAACGTGTTGAAATGAAACCAGGGCAAATGAAGACACATGTAGGAAGGACAGTGTTGCCCAGGGAAACTGAGGAACTGAGGAGAAATTCCCGTGATAACTTGAGCCTTAAAATTCACATCATGTTCTCAAGCAAGTAAACCTGTATCTGTACATTATTTCACCTGAATGCAATATAGCTAAACAGCTCTGTACTGATAAGGTATCAGAAGCAATCGATGTGTTACTAATTCTGGCCAGTATATGGGATAAATAATGTATACAAGCTCCTCATAGGCTTGTTTCAGATGGGATATATGAAAAAAATGGTGCTTGCATCAAAATCTTTTCCCTCTCAGACTTCACTGACTTCCTGTGGAAGGAAGAGAGCTTCTAGCTATAAAACTTAAAGACTGTGGAATTACCTATCTGATGATGGAGGCACAATTGAGCTTGAAAAAATTTTAACTTTTTTTGCTGATACTGTGTAAGAGAAACAGGCTGTACTTTGCCCCTTGGACCTGGAGCTGAATTTGCTCAAATGGAGTTTATATGAAACAGACTTTTATTTGTACACATCACAACCCCGATAATTTACTAACTCTGCTATACAGGATATCTTCAACAGTAGAATCCATGCTTAAACATTTGTTGGGCCAAAGTATTTCTATCCCTTCAAGTTTGCATAAAGAAATAGAAGTTTAGGACAATTCTCCTGTTTACTGGCATTCTCTAAAATTAGAGCTATTTGTATTGAATTTTAAAGTTTGTTGGCAGCATTGTGCCTTAATTTATTTATGGTAACCAAGCTGATGAAACAGCTGACCTTGCTGTGGTTGCACTCTGGCTTGGGGCAAGCCCATCTCAGCGGAGCATGGCTACAGTTACCCAGCCATTCCTCACCAAACTAAACCTGAAGATAGGAGCTGAGGCAGAGACACTCTTCCCCAGTGCATTCTGAGGATTGCTCCCAGCAGCTGGGCTGGGGAAAAGTGTTTTTCAGTGCTTTGAATCTCAGTTTATGCTGCTCTGAGGACAACACATTGCATTTGGCAGTGCTTCATCCCCATTACACTCTAACAGAGTGTCATCGTGCAAGTGCTGCATGTCTGCTGGCTCTCAAGTTCAGTGTAGTCCAGATTCCAGAGGTCAAAGACAGCTGACAGTAAGTGTTTACAGACACCCTTGTACTGAGTGCATGGAAGCTGCGTACTGTCACAGGGAGAGCTATAGGTCAGTGAGCCTGAGCTGATGACACTGGCTGTGGCAGTTCACCTCAGGGTGGCTCATCCTTAGCCTTAATTATGGCTCAGTCTGGTACCTCCCACTGTTTATAGCACTGATGTGGCCTGAGGCACCAAAAGCTGATGCCCACTTCATATTAATACGTGAAGCAAGTGGTGGTAGACTGCCACTTTGGCAGTGCATTTCTTCCACATGCTTCCATCAGCTGTACTACTCATACCAGAACCGAATTGGCAGGGAGATCCATGGCGGAAAATATTTTACATATAAGAACTGTAATTTTCTTATATTGACAAAAACACTGGCTGACAGGCGGTTATGCAAAATATAAATACTTTAAGACAGAGCTGGATGCAAGCATGGTGGGATGGGAGCATGCAGCTGCAAACCTCTCCTTTGTCACCGCAGCATGAGGCAGATGCTGCTTTAGGCATTGCTGATCAGAGGAGTCAGACCAAACTTTCTTTCCCAGAAGAGCTGCTTTGATTTAAAATGTGATATTCCATGGCCCAATTTCTCACATGGGGTAGAAACTTCTTGCCAGGAAAAGGTGATTTAA